CATGACTTCAGTCTTGTCGCAGTTAAGATGAAGGAAGTTTTGAGTAATCCAAATTTTTATGAGATCCAATTAGATAGAATAGAGACAGCCACATCAGTGTCAGGTTTGCTATGGATGTATATTTGAGTATTGTCAGTGTAAAAATGAAAGCTGAGGCCATGTGATCTTAAAAGCTGACCAAGAGGGAACATGTAAATGCTGAAGAGCAAGGGGCCCAGTATTGAGCCCTGAGGGACACCAGACTTAACAAGACCAATTTCAGACCTGTACCCATTAAGAGAGACAAAGTGACAGCGATCAGTGAGGTAAGATTTGAACCATTTGAGGGCAGTGTCAGAAACTCCAAACACAGTCTCAAGACAAGAAAGTAAGATGTTATGGTCAACAGTGTCAGAAGCAGCACTGAGATCAAGAAGGATGAGTACAGAAAGAGAACCAGAATCAGAAGCTATTAGAAGATCGTTGGTGACTTTGACTAAGGCAGTTCCTGTGCTGTGAAGTTGACGGAAGGCAGATTGGAGGTGTTCAAAAAGGTTTTTTGTCATGAGGTGGTTATGTAACTGAAGTGTGGCAGCACGTTCTAGAATTTTAGGAAGAAAGGGTAAGTTGGAGATGGGGCGAAAATTGTTAAGATTGTTGAGAGCCATGTTAGGCTTTTTTGGCACAGGGGTAATGGCAGCAGTTTTGAGGACCGTTGGTAAAACGCCAGTGCTCATGGATTCATGTAAAATATTGAGGAAAATGGGACAGAGAGAAGAGAAACAGGACTGGAATAAAGTGGTGGGAATGGGATCTAAAATAGATGTGGTGGGTTTCATGCGTGTAACTAGTTTGTTGAGAGATGCTGAGTCAAGAAGAGAGAAGCTGGAGAGAAGGGAACCAGAGAAGTTGGATGAGGAGGGAGGAGGTATGGAAATGCGTAGTGGAGAGAATGTAATGCCGGATGTTGTCAATCTTAGAACTAAAGAAATCTAAGAATGTGTTGCAAAGTTGTTATGAGGCAGGTAATGTGGTAGGGCAGTTTGGCTTG